TTATCTAGGAACAGTGCAAATTAAATATGTTTAAATGTTTATGCGTCATGCAAGGAGGTTATACTATACATTTAAGCTGTAACCAAAAGTTTATGTTTTGTAAGAACCGTGGTAGGAACTACATTTCACAGTATTCTCATCCTTTTCTACATCTGTCCCATTTTCTTCGTTTTCTATAAAATATTAGATATTTATTGTACTGTATTATTTCAATAAAATATAGTTATATATTATACAAATTAATTCACAAAGTTTTCCGAAAACTATTATTTTAGAAATTATACCTGTTTCAAAATCCCGGTTAGGTATTAAATTCTAAAATAATACGTTTATTATAATATCGATAGTAATAAATAATAATAATACTAAATTACGTCATTAATTATTATAATACAATATAGATCTAGTATTAATTATAATAGAGAATAATAATTATGAATAATTTCTAACCTGTGCTACATTGTGTGTTAGTACTCGTATTACCCAGCCAATTATGAAAATACGCCGAAGTTCGCTCATTTTCTTTTTTTTTTTCGAGAGCTTTTTGCCGGAACTTAAAACCAGATAATTTTTTTTTTGGTTCCATCACAAAAAAATATACTGTAACACTTATACTTAAACTGTAACATTCATTAGATACCGTCCAGTGAACAGTGAAGTGAACGCTAAACACTGTTATAATAAATATAAATACCACTGTTAAATAGCAGAAAATACGCACACATGAGTACACAATGCTTGGTTATCGGCTTATCGCTGTGCAATTAGTTCGTCTATGACTGACCGATACAATTATACAACATTAGTTTATCTCAATTGCAGATTGCCCCGATTGTGTTTTTGGCTATTTTCAGCAAAATCATAAAATCGAAAGTATAATATGATATAATATGTCGAATGTCTTTTCTTAATCATAACCAGTATGACTACATTGAATTAAAACTATTTATTTGAAAAACTTGTGTACTTCAAAAAAAAAGATAAATGTAATAAAAATGATGAGTTTAAAATTTGAAATTTGCGCCCCTCTATGATAAGCGCCCGGGGCATGGGCCCCGGATCGCCCCCCCCCCCCTAGATCCGGTACTGGTAGGTATACATTTTAGTTTCTGGTTGTGCAGGGCATACGCGCCCGGCGGCCGGCACTTTTGGGGATTTCTTCTTTTCCGCCCGGCACTTTTAGGAATTTCTTTTTTTCCGCCCGGCACTTTTGGGGATTTCCTCTTTTCCGCCCGGCACTTTGGGGATTTCTACTTTACCGCCCGCTGGACGGAAAAAGGACGCTTTCGAACGCTTAAACTGTTTTCGAAAACCAAACTTTCGGTGCAGGAGTGACAAAAAATATATATATGCGGGGCCCGGCTGGCTGGCTCCATGTGTTTATAGTTCGGTGATTGTTAACAAAATTTCGTAATTACAGTGGTTTCTTTTTTGAACATAAGTCTATTTACCCTTTATTTTTTACCCAACCTTTATGAACTTATATTTTTCTATACCTAGGTAAAATTCTATAGACGACCCCGCCCAACAAAACAACAATTATTGTTTTTTATTTATCAATTATTTATTTATTTATATTTAACAATTCATATATAGCTTCCTTTACGTCCCGCTTTTTTCCTGTAATTTTCAGCGTGGTGGAGGTGCTGCATTCGGCTAAAATTAAAATAAACAGTAACTATTAAGAGGACGCTACCCATGCATTTGTTGTCATTAGTTATATAAATATATCATAGTCTGACTGATAGTCTTCGCTCAGAATCGTTTTTCTTATACAATGATATTATATCATTGAATTCAAATTTAATACCATCCATAAATAAAAAAAATAATTTTAATTAGAATAATATTTAAATTGATTGATTTGGGTTATTGAACATAATGGTCAGTCTCGAGGAGCATCCATAAATACGTGGTTCGGACCATGGTGATGACAGGAGTGGAGCGTGTGTGGATTCGCCACACTGGCCGGTATGATAATAATACAATAATTGTCGTCGATCGGCGGACTTTGACAACTGAACAAAAGTCGCTATGGCACGTACACGTACACGTAAAATGGTTAACTACAGTTCTATGTTGCCGTCGTAAGCAAAAACGCAAAAACGGTGGAACTATGTGGAGAAAAAACGTGTAAAAACACTTTGTACATTATATTTATTTTAATATATTATGTTTTCCGGTGTAATTTTACCAGACGGATACAATGAAACAAAAATAAATATGAATAAATTAATTTTCTACAAGATATTTTACTTTTCACGTTACACCTTAGCCCGTCGTTGGTATCGAGTGAGCCCTCACCTCGTTTTTTCATCATTATTTATTATACTATGAACATGAAATATCGAAACCAACAACAATTAATGTTATATTAATCTTTTCAAAAAATGTTCTTTCAATTTTTAAATTTTTAACCACTAAAATTTAATTTAATTTTTATACATAATCATATAATCATTATCATTCATCTTGGTCAAAGCATAGAACAGTATAGAAGCGAAACTCGATCAGCTGATTGGGGTATTGGTTCGCTATGATCTGAAGTCTGAACTTACGAAAAACATGGAATTGGTTGCCGCACCAACATGATGTT